AGCTATCAGATCTGATCAGGGCCAACAAACAGCATGAGGACGTCTCCATTACAACCTCTGACAGTATTGTGATTACAGCGCGCCCATCAGTCCACTGGAGGTCATTTATAAAAGCTCAGAGCTTCACACATGATGGACGTTCTTCCTCCAGATGACCTCTGGCAGGTTTTATCAGCTATCAGCGCTGCGTGACACTCTGAGTGTTTGTCCAACTGTCCAACAATCAAACAGCTGCAGACGGACGACGGCCGGAGACAGACGTCAGTGTGTAAACATTCACAACCAGCTGACCTCTCACTCACACACACAGCGGGCTTTCCTCTTCACACACTGTACTGTTCACACAAACTGTCTGGACACAAACACTCAGACGTCCACGTTACAGTAAACCGGGTCAGAGGTCAGTCTGACAGAGGTCACACAGAGCACGAGGCAGCGGGACTGAATCCAAAGTCGACAGAAAGACACGCGAAGACCCACGCTCCACTTCTCTTTCTGTATTAGCTGGCCGGCGGTTACTGAAGACAGGCGCCTGTGACGTCACCCGCCAAAGGAAATGTTTATTTCTGCTGTAAAGTTATGACATTTTAATATGAGGCCTAACCCGGTGAATTAGGGATTTCTTTAACCAAACCACAGTTGGTGGAAACTTTGGTGCGTTTCATTTTGTTTCTGTAGTTTTGGTCTGTTGCTGCTCTAGTGCTGCTCTAGTGCGACATCCAGTGAGCAGTGAGATCTCTAATGTAAAGCACACAGAATCAAACACAGCAGGCCTGACAGGGTGTTTGGACCCAGAAGGAAAAACCCTGTGGGCAAAGAGTGACTGGGTTGCCATGACAACAGATCAGACAGGTGGGTCAGCTGAGTCTGGAATGTGGTTCAGGTAAACCAGCTGAACTGGCTGCAGACAGATACTGGAGTTTCTGAATCCCACAAACACTCCCTGCAGGTAAAAGACATTCTTCTCAACAGGTCACACACACACACACACACACACACACACACAGACACACACACACACACACACACACACACAGAGACACACACACACACACACACACACACGAGACACACACACACACACACACACACACACACACACACACACACACACAGACACACAGACACAGACACAGACACACACACAGACACACACACACACACACAGTCTGAATGGATCAGGTCCAGGATGTTACTTCAGGGTCTCCACAGTCATTAAGAATTCTGTCTTTTTAAGAATCACCACTAACAGCTTTCAGTTAGCATCAGTCTGTTAGCATCTGTTAGCATAACCTGGGACCTGTTAGCTTTAGCATCAGTCTTGTGAACCATGAATCCTAACCGGGAGAAGCTGACTGCAATGGTGGTGAAGACAACAACTCCCATGATCCCACGCTGCTTCACCACCTCATCACACTTGCTGTTTTCTTATAGTTGGGTGTGAGAGGCCCCCTAGTGGCAGAAAGTACAGATAACAGATTATCAGCTGTGAACAATAGCTGTTTGTCCTGTATGATTTATTGATCTGCCTCTGAAGAACTGGCTCTTCAGCCTCCAGCTGTTCATCCACATACCTTCAGCAGCTGAGTGCTGGTGTGCAGTCAGGTGTGTGTTATCTGTCTGATGTTGCTCAGCGGGAACCGTCACACCCTGAATGTCACACAGCTTCCCATACGTACTGAGACAACCCTGCAGCGCCCCCTACAGGCCGCACTGCTGCTCACAAACACTTCATTACAGCAGCAACCAGAGAGTGTCGGACCAAAACTCAGCTCAGAGAAGTACAGTGACACAACTTTGGACCAGGGCTCCAGAGTGCGACTAATAATTTTTCTAGGTCGTACCGGAGCACCTGACGCTGCCCGGGTGAAAACATACATTTATTTTGCAAGCACATCATCTCTCTGTGTTCTCCTGTGAGCGAACTCACACACTCATGGTAAGATCATATCGGGTTCTGATCCAATAAGAGACAGAGCTCGGGCGGGTCTTTGCCTCTGATTGGCTGTGGTCCTGTTCACCGCGCTAAGTTGCGTGTTTAAAAATTGCCGAGCCCCGGTCCTTCGGCTACAGCATCAGACTCGGAACCAGAGGAGAACAACCAAGTCTGGGATAGAGCCCGGCTCCGAGACCCAAATTAAAAAGGTCAAAATATATTCCTTCAGACAGGACTGGCTGAAACAAGTTCCCTGGCTGAGGTTCAACAAAGGACGCAACGCACTGCTGGTGTACTGTCAGGAGTGCGGTCAGAATATGGATGGAAATAGTGCATTCGTGAGCGGGTCAACAACGTTTCATATCGAACTTTTATTTGGAAATGTTTTATTTTGCTTAGTGTTTTAGTTTGAAATGTTCAATTTCAGCTCAGTGAAGCACTTTAAACACTTTATTTTTCTTTTTATATATAACTGTGCTTCAAATAAAGACAAGCCTTTCTTTACACCTTATTCTTCTTTAAAAATCATTCACATTATATGAAAGTTATGGAGAGCGATAAAAAGGTGACCTTATGGCGTTAAAGGGCGACACAATGAAAAATTTGGGTGCACCTAAATTTTGTGCTAAAAGTTAGGTGCACCAGTGCAACCAATGCAAAGAGTTAGTCTGGAGCCCTGCTTTAGACCAGACGACAGACGACAGAAACAGCAAAATAAAGAGTGTGAGTGACAGAAAAAATGACAGATGAGATTCAATAAAGTGTTTGTATGTCAGGACACTCATCAATAACACTTTCTTTATTTCATATAACAGTTGCTTCCCTCGCTGGCTGTTGGATTTAAACTCTAACAGCTAAAAAACAATGCTTTATTCTTACTTTAAGGTATAGGAAATGTGCATTTACCACCAGTCAAATTAGAGGGACCGCTTTCACTCAAAAGGGGGCGGGGCTTGACGCAGGGCGCCATCTATATCTGTAATGTTACTACGCTACGAAGGACGCTGCTGCATCGCATCGCTCTTGGCTAGCAGAAAGCTATCATTAGCTTTATACCGCTAGAATCAGCACAGAAGTTATAGAGTACACACACACACACACACACACACACACACACACACACACACACAGACACACACACACAGACACACACACACACACACACACAGACACACACACCTGGACTTTCACATTTGGTCTCTCAAAACTTTTTTTCACACCTAGCTGTCCACTTTCTGTTTCAGGTACGCAGGTGTGTGTGTGTGTGTGTGTGTGTGTGTGTGTGTGTGTGTGTGTGTGTGTGTGTATGTGTATGTGTATGTGTGTGTGTATGTGTGTTACAGCAGATGATTTCTGTGAAATCTCACACTGAGCAAAGAAACAAGCCTCTGAAAATAGAAGTGAGAAGACTTAGAAGAGAAACTGTGTGTAACTAAAAGAGGCCACAGAGTGAGACTGTCAGTCAGAGCTGTAGTGACGGCGGTCTGCCTCCGGAGGGCAGTGTAGTAAACAGTCTGATCTTTAATCCCTATAAATTCATTTAAAATGGCGTATAAATGCCGGTTTTGCCGAGAGATATCAGTCTAACACGGGGGGGGGTAGTAGTGCAGGGACGGACCAGCAGGTGGATTACAGGTTCTGGTAACGAGGTATCGATGAGTTTGGGCTGAAACTCAGGAACAATCATATGACAACAGGAAGACAGGTGTGAGTTTACAGGTACAGTACACACACACACACACACACACACACACACACACACACACACACACACAAAAAAACATTGATGACATAATAGCTGTTATCTGAAACTCTACCTGGACTCTGCTGAATGGGCCTGTCTTAAAGGGAGAACCAGAAACCCTCATCTTTCACTGTGACCCACATTCCCACATACCTTCCCACCACACACACACACAGACACACACAGACACACACAGACACACACAGAGTCACACACGCAGAGTCACACACACACACAGACACACACAGACACACACAGAGTCACACACGCAGAGTCACACACACACACAGACACACACAGACACACACACACAGAGTCGCACACACACACACACACACACACACACACACACACACACACACAGGTCTGTCAGTACCACAGCGCCCCCTGCTGTCAGTGCACTCTGTTATTATCAGAGCAAACAAACATCAGGTGACTTTATTAAACTAACAGAGTGTAACACGTGTGTGAGTGTGTGTGTGTGAGTGTGTGTGTGCGTGAGTGTGTGTGTGTGTGTCTGTGTGTGTGTGTGTGTGTGTGTGCGTGACTGTGTGTGTGTGTGTCTGTGTGACTCTGTGTGTGTGAGTGTGTGTGCGTGAGTGTGTGTGACTCTGTGCGTGTGTGTGTGTGTGAGTGCGACTCTGTGTGTGTGTGTGTGTGTGTGTGTGTGTGTGTGTGTGCTCTCTGTGTGTGTGTGTGCGTGACTGTGTGTGTGTGTGTGTGTGTGTCTGTGTGACTCTGTGTGTGTGAGTGTGTGTGTGTGAGTGTGTGTGACTCTGTGTGTGTGTGTGTGTGTGTGTGTGTGTGTGCGACTCTGTGTGTGTGTGTGTGTGTGTGTGTGTGTGTGTGTGTGCGACTCTCTGTGTGTGTGTGTGTGTGTGTGTGTGTGTGTGTGTGTGTGACTCTGTGTGTGTGTGTGTGAGTGTGTGTGTGCGTGACTGTGTGTGTGTGTGTGTGTGTGTCTGTGTGACTCTGTGTGTGTGAGTGTGTGTGTGTGTGAGTGTGTGTGTGTGTGTGTGTGTGTGTTCGTGTGGTGTGTGTGTGTGTGTGTGTGTCTCTGTGACTCTGTGTGTGTGTGTGTGTGTGTGTGGGCGACTCTGTGTGTGTGTGTGTGTGTGTGTGTGTGTGTGCTGAGTGTGTGTGCGACTCTCTGTGTGTGTGTGTGTGTGTGTGAGTGTGTGACTGTGTGTGTGTGTGTGCGTGTTGACTCTGTGTGTGTGTGTGTGTGTGTGTGTGTGTGAGTGTTTGACTGTGTGTGTGAGTGTGTGTGAGTGTGTATGACTCTGTGTGTGTGTGTGTGTGTGTGTGTGTGACACTCACCCACGGCTCTGAACAAACAGGCTCCGTCCTCTTTCATCTTCTTGATTACGAAGCCTTTCTTTTCCCGCAGAGCTTTTTCGAACCAGTGCTCCTGCTGACAGTGAGACAGGCAGACAGTGAGACAGGCAGACAGTAAGGCAGTGAGACAGGCAGACAGTGAGACAGTGAGACAGTAAGACAGTGAGGTCAGTGAGACAGTGAGGTCAGCTAGACAGTAAGACAGTGAGACAGTGAGGTCAGTTATACAGTGAGACAGTGAGGTCGGTAGGACAGTGAGACAGTGAGACAGTAAGACAGTGAGGTCAGTGAGACAGTGAGGTCAGTGAGACAGTGAGGTCAGTTAGACAGTGAGACAGTGAGGTCGGTAGGACAGTGAGACAGTGAGACGTAACAGTGAGGACAGTGAGACAGTGAGATCAGTAAGACAGTGAGATCAGTGAGGGGTAGGACAGTGAGGTCAGTGAGACAGTGAGGTCAGTTAGACAGTGAGACAGTGAGGTCGGTAGGACAGTGAGACAATAAGACAGTGAGGTCAGTGAGACAGTGAGACAGTGAGACAGTGAGGTCGGTAGGACAGTGAGACAGTGAGACAGTATACATCATTGATTAATCTGCAGATTATTTTCTCCATAAATCAATAAATCAGTTACTGTAACAGCAGCTGGAACAACTCTAAGCTTCAGGTGAGATCAACAGACCCAGTCCTCAGACCCAGTCAGACCCAGTCAGACCCAGTCCTCAGACCCAGTCCTCAGACCCAGTCCTCAGAGCGAGCTAACAGTGAACTCCCAGTGTGTGTGTGTGTGTGTGTATAAATAGACCTGGAGGTTCTCAGGTGTTCACACAGTAACAACAGAACCAGTTCACTGTGACACACAGTAACAACAGAACCAGTTCACTGTGACACACAGTAACAACAGAACCAGTTCACTGTGACACACAGTAACAGAACCAGTTCACTGTGACACACAGTAACAACAGAACCAGTTCACTGTGACACACAGTAACAGAACCAGTTCACTGTGACACACAGTTACAGAACCAGTTCACTATGACACACAGTAACAACAGAACCAGTTCACTGTGACACACAGTAACAGAACCAGTTCACTGTGACACACAGTAACAACAGAACCAGTTCACTGTGACACACAGTAACAACAGAACCAGTTCACTGTGACACACAGTAACAGAACCAGTTCACTGTGACACACAGTAACAACAGAACCAGTTCACTGTGACACACAGTAACAGAACCAGTTCACTGTGACACACAGTAACAGAACCAGTTCACTGTGACACACAGTAACAGAACCAGTTCACTGTGACACACAGCTGCTGACGGGACACTGGTTGTTTGTTTGTGGAGATTTATTCTGATGTCTTACAGCTGTCTCCAGTTGCTAACACACTAAAATAACACAGCACACTAATTTAAAGTGACACACAGAGAGCAGAACCTCGGGGTGGGCGAGATGGGCAAAAAATAATATCTCAATATTTTGGGGGATTTTGCCGATAAGGATAATCAGTCGTATCCTTTAAAATGTGATTGGAGTTCGGGCTTGTGTCCATCAAACGCGTTTTTAGTGCTGAGAGCTCAAAAACTCATTTTCCGAGCGCCCTGCGGTGTTAAAGGTTGAACAGATTTCAACTTGAAGCGCTCTGAGCGCTAAAACGTCTCCGTATCTTTTTACCGCTGAAGGTGCTTAGCGCTCTGAACGCTGAAGCTCATAGGATTTGAATTCAAAACAGACGCTGCTAGCACTAAAAAGGTGTTTGGTGGACCCGTATCAGTCTTTTCAAACCAAACCATTTCCATTTCCAGAGAGGTCGACCCACGTCTCTGCCCTGAATCATCTGAAGTACCGGGAGCTTCAGGGACTGGAGGTGTTTGCATTGTCTCTCTACCATCACAACGCGCTGCTAAACTGTTGCAAGGAGGATGCTAGCGAGAGGTCATGTGATCACGTCGGCCCACTAGTCATGTGACTGAATCCTGCCATGCTGTAGAGAGCGCTGCTGCACCGTGTATTAATGGATGTGAGGAGTTTCCGCGGGCGTTTCATTATTTTTGGCGAAGTAATTTAAATACTCGATAATGGAAATTTGCACATCGTCAAAACAACGACGATATTATCGCAAACGATATATATCGCCCACCTCTAACAGAACCTCTTCTCCAGTCTCCAAAACTCTAAACACATTTTCTGCTTTACTTTACTTTTTAAATGCACTGATGGTTCTCTGCATAACAACAATCTGAGTCACATGTTCACATTTCAAAACTCTGCCATTCATAATGACCCTACATGAGCTGATTGGTCAATATATGATGCTTCATTGTTACCTTCAATCAGGAAGGAAGCTAGAAAAACATTAATGTAAATGTAAATGCTGTGCAGATGTTGCACTGAGCTGTCTGGTGAAAAATAAATGTTTCAACAGCTTGTGTGTGTGTGTGTGTGTGTGTGTGTGTGTGTGTGTGTGTGTGTGTTGTGTGTGTGTGTGTGTGTGTGTGTGTGTGTGTCTGTGTGTGTGTGTGTGTGTGTATTTTAGTATTATGGTAAAGCAGACTAAAGATGAGAGTGCTTTTCATTACGCCCAACAGTGTGTAGTTGGTTAGACAAACATCTGCTAATATGAATGAAGTGTGTGTCAATAGATAATAATATATTATAAACATATTATATAATTTTTGGTTTTGTGTATTTAAGTATTAAATAAGTATTTTAATAAAAACAGCCTAGTTTGCAAAATTGTGTTTAGCAATTAGAAAAAACTGTAATGTTGAACCTCCAAAGAACGAGGATGAGCAGCTGTACAGAGACAGACCTGAACCCAGAGACAGACCTGAACCCAGAGACAGACCTGAACCCAGAGACAGACCCAGAGACAGACCTGAACCCAGAGACAGACCCAGAGACAGACCTGAACCCAGAGACAGACCTGAACCCAGAGACAGACCCAGAGACAGACCTGAACCCAGAGACAGACCCAGAGACAGACCTGAACCCAGAGACAGACCTGAACCCAGAGACAGACCCAGAGACAGACCTGAACCCAGAGACAGACCTGAACCCAGAGACAGACCCAGAGACAGACCTGAACCCAGAGACAGACCCGAACCCAGAGACAGACCTGAACCCAGAGACAGACCCAGAGACAGACCTGAACCCAGAGACAGACCCGAACCCAAAGAGACAGACCTGAACCCAGAGACAGACCTGAACCCAGAGACAGACCCGAACCCAGAGACAGACCTGAACCCAGAGAGAGACCCAGAGACAGACCTGAACCCAGAGACAGACCTGAACCCAGAGACAGACCCAGAGACAGACCTGAACCCAGAGACAGACCTGAACCCAGAGACACCCCCTGAACCCAGAGACAGACCCAGAGACAGACCTGAACCCAGAGACAGGCCTGAACCCAGAGACAGACCCAGAGACAGACCCAGAGACAGACCTGAACCCAGAGACAGACCTGAACCCAGAGACAGACCCAGAGACAGACCTGAACCCAGAGACAGACCCAGAGACAGACCTGAACCCAGAGACAGACCCAGAGACAGACCTGAACCCAGAGACAGACCTGAACCCAGAGACAGACCTGAACCCAGAGACAGACCCAGAGACAGACCCAGAGACAGACCTGAACCCAGAGACAGACCCAGAGACAGACCTGAACCCAGAGACAGACCCAGAGACAGACCTGAACCCAGAGACAGACCCAGCAGACAACCAATCACAGCTCCCAGAATGCCGAGGGAAGAAACCAGGGGTATTTTAAAGGATTTTGGGGCTTTTAATTTGCCTCTGAGGTGGGAAGAGACTGAAGGTCCTGAGGGGGCAGCAGACACACCCACAGATACTCCAACCTGCCAATCATTCCTCTGCTCAAAGGAACGACGGCAGTGAGTTTAAAGTGTCAGTGTAACAACATCAGAACCGACCCGTCTCGTCCTTTATGTGGACGATCAACAGTGAACAACCAACAGTTGACCCCCGACTGCCTCAAAGGGGACCTGAAGCATCACTGCTGTTGCTACGGTTACCTGCACTTTAACAGGGCCGAGGTTAACCTTTCAACCCGTCTGAGGTCGACGCAGCCGACAGCCAATCAGAACACACCTTGTATAATAAAGACTAACATATGGTTCTGATACAGCGGGTCACATCCACAGACAGCTAACAGCTAAAAATCTATAAACAAACATTATGGATCAATCATAATCAGATATTATGGATCAATCATAATCAGATATTATGGATCAATCATAATCAGATATTATGGATCAATAGCTTCAATGTCCGTCAGGAGAAAACAATGCTGAGGACATTCAGGTTGTTTGTTTATCGACCGACAGTAATAATGTGAACCACCATCGTCAATACATCAGCTCATAATGACATATTTATATTATTATTATCAATTATCAGGATAATGAAATTACAGCCAATTAATTATTAATCCATAAACATAATTCATTATATAATATATATGTTATATATATTTTATAGAATAATAAATAAACATCTGAAGAGTGAGAACTGTAGTTTGTTGTTGTGTAAACGAATCGATCAAAGTTATTGATCTTCACTTGCTTCAGCTGGGTAATTATCAGTTATCATATCAGTATAAAAATATCCATATTGTCCCTACATCCAATAATATTCCTCCATCGTAGGAAGAGACAGATTCAACACAACACATAATGTAATAAATATATTAATAAATCTACTAATATAATAATAAATCTACTAATATAATAATTAATATATTAATAAATATATTAATAAATATAATAAATATAATAAATATAATAAATATATTAATAAATATAATATAATAAATATAATAATAAATATAATAATACACATACTAATAAATATAATAAATAAATAATACACATAATACACATACTAATAAAATATAATAATAAATATAATAATACACATACTAATAAATATATTAATAAATATAATAATACATATATTAAATACAATAATAAATACAATAATAAATATAATAATAAATATAATAATAAATATAATAATACACATACTAATAAATATAATAATAAATATAATAATACACATACTAATACATATATTAATAAATATATTAATAAATATAATATAATAATAAATATAATAAATATATTAATAAATCTACTAATATAATAATAAATCTACTAATTAATATATTAATAAATATAATAAACATAATAATACACATACTAATAAATATATTAATAAATATAAGAATACAATATTAAATATAATAATAAATATAAAGAGCACACTGTGATATATAAATGAGTCGTAGTACGAAGGGAAACATTCAGTTTATTCCTCAGAAATAAAGAACGATTGTATAATTTCATAATGAATTTGTTTACAATCTCTTGTTGTTAAAAATATCGTAAATAAGAAATCGCATCGTGAGTGTATCGAACTGTGATTGTATCGCAACGTCACGATTTTATTTTATCCCAAAGTTTCACTGAATTGTTATTGAATGATGTAATTACACCTTTTATCTCACCTGTGGCTCCATTAGCATCCGCTAATGCTACCGTTAGCTTCCTACCTGCTCCACAGTGCACTTAGCATTGCTCTAGCTAATGCTACCGTTAGCTTCCTACCTGCTCCACGGTAGCCGGGTCCATGGACTGCAGCCGGGCGGCGTTCTCGTACTCGTCCTCGCTGTTGTTCCCGGCTCCTTCCTCCGTGTCCTGGCTGGAGCCCACTCCTCCCGGTCCGGTCACCCCGGGCTGGCCTCCGCCGGCCAGAGCCGCCACCACTCCGCCGGAGCAGGTGCCTGCCTGCCGCCGCCTCTTGCTGAGCCCGGGCCCGGAGCAGCAGCTGCCGATGCCTCCGCCGCAACCGACGACGCCGGCCGACACGACGAGCTCCCCGCGGGACCCGGCCACCATCCCGCCGCTGCTGTCCCGCCCGTCGCCCGGTCCCACCGGGGACACGGAGCCGACGGGCGGCGGAGAGGCCTGCTGCGGCCGGGAGCTCGCCTCGATGCTCCGCCGGTCGTCCCTCGCGGAGGGCGGAGCGGGCTGGTAGGACCACGGCGGAGGGGAAGCCCTCGGTCGGGCTCCGGCCCGCCCTGCGTGCGGGTGCGGATGCGGGTGCTGGTGCGGGTCGGAGCCGCTCCGGCGGTCGCTGTCATCGGCGTGGTCCGAGACTCCGACCCCGGAGCTGGGTTTCTTCTTCGGGAGAATCGTCATGGTGGAGCAGGGAGGGGGTCAGAGGGTGACGAGTCCTCCCTTTCTGGATCAAATGGTTCGGTGTGTTCGGGCTCGGGCCCGGCCGTCCGCCTCTGATCACCGACCTAACGCTCCTAACGACCCGGAACGGACGACGGGACCACCGAGCGGATCCTTTTCGACGGTTTATTGAACAAAAACAGAACGCGGTCCTCTTCCCGTTCTCCAGTCCACAAAACATCAACACAGCCTGACGCAGCGACGTAACGACGTCACTTCCTGGTTGCGACGGCACTTTTTACGTCAGACCGTTTATTGTTTTTATTCTTTTACACTTTTTATTCTTTCTTTTCTGAGTTTATTAACTTACTCTTCTTTTATGAAACCTTATTACTGATAACATAGCAGCTAATTATAAAGTTTTAATATTCTCTGTGTTATGTATTTATGACCCCCCCCACTGAGTCCTAACCCCCCCACCCTGAATACATGAACATTGTTCTGTGGCACATTCCTGTACAGCTCTTTCTCTTTATAGAGGCCAATCCTACGACGGAGTATGAGGGCCATACTAAGAGAAAAACTAATATAAAGTATAGTAAAGTCATAATATTAGGTCTACGAGAATAAAGTCGTAATTTCATGAGAACTGTCAACGACAAACTTATCAATACGTCAGCTTACCTGTTGACTTAACGGTACGACTGATACAAACAGCGGCTGCTGTTGGGTTGAGCTGCTCACGTCAGATCTTGATGACTCTATCGAAGCTTTTTTCTCATTAAAACTACTTTTTTCTTGTCTTATTACAACATTATTCTCGTATTATTACGACATTATCGTATTATTACAACATTATTCTCGTATTATTACGAAATTATTCTCGTATTATTACGACTCTATTCTCGTATTATTACGACATTATTCTCGTAGTATTACGACATTATTCTCGTAGTATTACGACATTATTCTCGTATTATTACGACTCTATTCTCGTACTATTACAACATTATTCTCGTATTATTACGACTCTATTCTCGTAGTCTTACGACTTTATTCTCATAGTATTACGACATTATTCTCGTATTATTACGACATTATTCTCGTATTATTACGACATTATTCTCGTATTATTACGACTTTATTCTCGTATTATTACGACTCTATTCTCGTATTATTACGACATTATTCTCGTAGTATTACGACATTATTCTCGTAGTATTACGACATTATTCTCGTAGTATTACGACATTATTCTCGTATTATTACGACATTATTCTAAAAATGTTTTCCTTAGTCTGGCCCTAATACTCCGTCGTAAAATCCCTCCTGTGTGAAAACCTACTTGGCAATAAACCTGATTCTGATTCTGATTCTGATTCTGGTTCTGATTCTGATTCTGGTTCTGATTCCGGTTCTGGTTCTCTTCCTTTGCCACTGTATCAGACTGAAAGTCCACAGAAGAACTGAGAACCACTTCAGAGCCTCACAGGATTCATTTAGAGGTGGAAACCTTTGATTAAAGGACACAGCAGTGTGACTGGGGGACACAGGAGGAGAGAGGACATGAGGAATCATCAGTTAGCGTAATAAAAAGGACCCAGTTTATTCCACTGACTCATTTTCTTTAAGTTGACTTTATATCTTTATTAATTAATAAATTAATGATTTTTTATCAAACGTCAGCTGTTTGACAGGTGATGTAATAAATGAAATTACTGGTAAATTTGTATAAAGATGCTTTAAAGGTTTTACACTGTAAACTATTAATTAAGATGTAACTGTACATTTATCACATCACAGGCTTTAACTGAGATATTTTACAATATAATGTAAAAGATTACTTTTACTACTTTTACAATGATTTATAAATATACAGTCAAATATTAACAGTGTATACTTTATTCATAAGATAAATTAATGAGTGTAATATACTGAATGAAATTGGTAGTTAACTTAATTTACTCAACTTCAGTTACTGTTTTATGTTTAAACTGTTAATAAATTATTTAATGAATGAACTAACTCAGTGTGAGTTGAACTAACTCATCAGGTTTTAGTGTTTCTGTCACATTATGAAACCAAACTATACCTTATTATTTAAATGTTTTAAAGTTATTTCCATCATCAATTCATCTGTTGCTTATTTTAATATTTTTATGACATAATTATTTATTTTCTCTAACCAACAGTCTGAAACTCAAACATACATTATAATAATATTAATAATAATAATTATAATTATAATGATAATAATAAAAATAATATTAATACTAATAATTATAATAATTAAAAAAGTAGAAAAATAAATAAGTAAAACTCCATTAAAACCCAGACTCAAGAGGTTTGTCTCTCAGGTAGAGCTCACAATCTGAGGGTGCAGAGAACCTCAAGAACCTCAAGAACCTTGAGAACCTTGAGAACCTCGAGAAACCAGTTCCTGAGTACAGACAGTCAGAGTGCAGACAGACTGTAGATAAATGTTTATAATAAAACAGTTCTCCAGTCTCAGAGTTCTTCAGGCGACGCAGAGCAAAAGGTTTCCTGGATGAGTCTGAAATGGACCCGTCCACATATAAATCTGTCCACTTCCTTCCTCTCTCTCTCCCCCTGGTGGCTGACTGCAGTATAGACTCTCTCTCTCTCTCTCTCTCTCTCTCTCTCTCTCTCTCTCTCTCTCTCTCTCTCTCCCTCTGGTGGCTGACTGCAGTATAGAAAAAGAGATCACATCTCTCCTGTACTAGCTTCTCTGCACTGGCTCCCTGTAAAATGTAGAATAGAATTTAAAATCCTCCTCCTCACCTATAAAGCTCTTCATGGTCAGGCCCCTTCATATCTTAAAGAGCTCATAGTACCCTATTACCCCTCTAGAACACTACGTTCTCTGAATGCTGGGCTACTTGTGGTTCCTATAGTCTCTAAAAGTAGAACAGGAGCCAGAGCCTTCAGTTACCAAGCTCCTCTCCTGTGGAACCAGCTTCCAGTTGTGGTTCGGGAGGCAGACACCCTCACCACATTCAAGAGTAGGCTTAAGACATTCCTCTTTGATAAAGCTTATAGTTAGGGCTGGATCAGGTGAGTCCTGAACCATCCCTTAGTTATGCTGCTATAGGCCTAGACTATCGGGGGATTTCCCATGGTGCACTGAGCTCCTCTCTTCCTCTCTCTTTCTGCACTCATTCATGTCCCTTTAATGCATGTTACTAACTTCACTTCTTCCCCGGAGTTCTTGTGCTTTCTCGTCTCGCAGGTTCTCATGGATCCTGGTGGAGCCTCCTGCCATGGTCCTGCTTGACTGCCATTGCCAATACTGTTGTTGCTGTGCACCTGTCTGTCTGTCTGTCTGTCTGTCTGTCTGTCTGTCTGTCTGTCTGTCTCTCGCTCTCTCTCTCTCTGCCTCTCTCTCTCTCTCTCTCTCTCTCTCTCTCTCACCCCAACTGGTCGAGGCAGACGACCACCCACCTAGAGCCGGAGGATCTGTCCTAGGTTTCTGCCTTTTAACAGGCAGTGTTTCCTTGCCCTTGTCTCCAAGGTCTTGCTCATGGTGGTACTGTTGGGTCTCTGTAATTAATGTTTTAAAGAGTTCGGTCTAGACCTGCTCTATTTGAAAAGTGTCCTGAGATAACTTCTGTTATGAATTGGCGCTATACAAATAAAATTGAACTGAATTGAATTGAATTGAATTGCAGTATGGACTCTTTCTCTCTATCTCCCCCTGGTGGCTGACTGCAGTATAGACTCTCTCTCTCTCTATCTCCCCCTGGTGGCTGACTGCAGTATAGACTCTCTCTCTCTCTTTCTCCCCTGGTGGCTGACTGCAGTATAGACTCTCTCTCTCTATCTCCCCCTGGTGGCTGACTGCAGTATAGACTCTCTCTCTATCTCCCCCTGGTGGCTGACTGCAGTATAGACTCTCTCTCTATCTCCCCCTGGTGGCTGACTGCAGTATAGACTCTCTCTCTTCTATCTCCCCTCCTGGTGGCTGACTGCAGTATAGACTCTCTCTCTCTATCTCCCCCTGGTGGCTGACTGCAGTATAGACTCTCTCTGTATCTCCCCTTGGTGGCTGACTGCAGTATAGACTCTCTCTCTCTCTATCTCCCCCTGGTGGCTGACTGCAGTATAGACTCTCTCTCTCTATCTCCCCCTGGTGGCTGACTGCAGTATAGACTCTCTCTCTATCTCCCCCTGGTGGCTGACTGCAGTATAGACTCTCTCTCTCTCTCTTTCTCCCCCCCTGGTGGCTGACTGCAGTATAGACTCTCTCTCTCTTTCTCCCCTGGTGGCTGACTGCAGTATAGACTCTCTCTGTATCTCCCCCTGGTGGCTGACTGCAGTATAGACTCTCTCTGTATCTCCCCCTGGTGGCTGACTGCAGTATAGACTCTCTCTCTCTCTCTCTCTCTCTCTCTCTCTCTCTCTCTCTCTCTACCTCCCCCTGGTGGCTGACTGCAGTATAGACTCTCTCTGTATCTCCCCTCCTGGTGGCTGACTGCAGTATAGACTCTCTCTCTCTCTACCTCCCCCTGGTGGCTGACTGCAGTATAGACTCTCTCTCTATCTCCCCCTGGTGGCTGGGGTTAGGGTTAGGGTTAAGTTATGTTACACTTGTTTTTTATGAAAACCTTTACTTGACTCACCACTTTAACAATAACTCCTCTTCTCTTTCTTCCAGGATCCAACATGCAACAGATTTATACTGTCAGCAGGTTTTGCATTTGAGTTCTGAAATATCATTCTGATTTCCAAGAATTCTTCGACGTTGAAAGAAACATAGAAATCCAAAACGTTGACAGATTCCAGGTTTTCATTAAAGCACAGAAGCAAACACTAACCTAACCCTAACCCCCCCAACCCTAACACTTCATGTGAGGATTTTGTTACAATTCAGTAACAGGTAACAATTAATGAAATGACAATTCATTTTAAGTGAAAGTGAGAAAATGGCTTCAATGTTTCTTGACTGTCCAGCCAAAAATGTTTTATTTTATATTTAATAAAAGCCAGAGTGCAGTGGCAACAGTCTCAGTATGTAACTTAATGTCTTAATACATTAAATGTGTCTTTCTTATTATTTACACATGATCAACACATATTGTGTTAACAGGTTAAATCTGACTCTCACACACACTCTTTAGTTAGTCAGTTAGATTCTAGGAGCCAAATCAATGATTCCTAATTAATCTGTTATTCTAATTTCAGTAATATAGTAATATTCATACAGTTTTAAATAAACAGGCGTTTCATGGGTATTATATTTATTTCTCTGAATATATGGTTTTATTTACAACAAGCACTAAGGCTGATTATTTGTATTACAGCAGTGCTTGTCTGTATTTATAGGTCATTTCATTGTATTTACAGTGTAAATATCTTTTAATTACTGTATGTTTACAACTTAATGTTATTATGCAATATGTTTTGATGCTCCAGCTGCCAGAATATTACCAGTAATTTAATATTTATCAGGGTGGACAGATTAATAGAAACAGCTGTCAGGGCACATAGCTGCTGTTAGAGAGGAGACAGAGAAGTTACAACACATTTCTGACAGACTGAACTGGTTTTAAAGTATTTCTCTACAATATTCAAATCTTCTTCCTACTGAGCTCCGCCCACTTTAAACTGCAGTGGCAGGATCTGATTGGTTGCGGGTCACATTTAAAATATGAATGTCAGACACTGATTATTGGCTCCTGCACAGCTCTGGGATCAGCTCTCATCTGACTGTTGTCATGGTGACTCCTCACAATGTCCAGTTATTACACTAAAATATATTCTATCACATAGTTGGGTTTTATTTCATGTTCATAAATCAGATTTACACCAATTGTAACTTAGCATTAGCAACTTAGCATTTTGCTACAGAGCAAAACACTAGTTAGCTCGTTGGTGTTTTGCTAACATGAACTGTGAGCTGTCATTGTTGTGAACGTCGCCTGCAGGCTGAACCGAACTCACTGAGACTCAACCAGTTTGTGGAAAATGTGAAGAATCTGTGGGGACGTCACCAAGATGAAGATCACATAGAAACACAGAGAGGAAGATCAGTTCCCTCCACACAGAGACAGCAAGAACACCAACCAGTCCCCTCAGAGTCCGGCTGCACATCAGATCCAGATCCAGGTCCCGGTCCCGGTCCAGATCCAGGTCCAGGTCGAGGTCCAGATCCAGGTCCAGGTCCAGGTCCAGGTCCAGATCCAGATCCAGATCCAGGTCCAGGTCCCGGTCCAGGTCCCGGTCCAGGTCCCGGTCCAGGAAGCCTCCAGAAGGTAAAACTACTCTTTATGCTCTACTGCACTTATCTGAGGTCTGTATATTTCCTATTTTATTGATCAGTATCAATAACAGTATCTGATCAGTGAACACAAACAGTGAACTCAGTAACTGCAGTTTGATTATTTCCTGTGAATATTGATCAGAGATGAGTTTTCTTGATATATTGATCCATTCTCTGACTTCTGTATTTTTATCTTTTTTAACAATCAGACTTAATATTCTTCTTCAACAGATTCACTGTTTATTGATCTATCAGCTGTTTGCTTTCTGATGCAGGACGAGGCTGTTGATCAGAGACTGAAGCTCTGTCAGTGTACACTGTGATCAATAATAAAAATAATGATAATAATAATAATAATATACACTGTGATCAATGATAATAATAATAATAATATACACTGTGATCAATAATAATAATATAATAATAATAATAATAATAATAATACACTGTACAATGATAATAATATAATAATAATAATAATAATAATAATATACAGTGATCAATGATAATAATAATAATAATATACACTGTGATCAATAATAATAATAATAATAATAATAATATACACTGTGATCAATGATAATAATATTAATAATAATAATAATAATAATATACACTCTGATCAATAATATAATAATAATAATAATAATAATAATATACACTGTGATCAATGATAATAATATTAATAATAATAATAATATACACTCTGATCAATAATATAATAATAATAATAATAATAATAATATACACTGTGATCAATAATAATAATATAATAATAAAAATAATAATACTGTGTTCTGTATATAAAATAAAGCTTTATTCTTTCACTGCACTGTTAGCTTTAAATAAATGAACACAGGGATGTGTGTAAGTATGTTTGTCACTGCATTATAATGATCATTATGATAATAATCTTTATATAAATAATCAAATAAATACATGATAGTTAAAAGCAGGGATTATTGTCCTGTGCTGTTGGGGAATCAGATATACGGTGACAGCTGTATAAAGGCTGTGTGTAATGTAATGCTGAATGATACAGCAAACGAGTATTTCGAAAATGTTTGTTATTAATCTCCTCCAGGATCCGAGGCGTTCACTGCCTTCGTTACCTCCTGTTGATCATACCAGAGTTCAGGGATCCAAATAATTATCAGTTTGATCCACCGTTACCTCCAGGTCACATTCTGTAAAATCTTCTTCCACCATTTATCCTCAGAACCTCTCGAAATAGTCGGGGTGTGTCTCCAGACATTTACAGTGAATGGTTTTATGAATCTGATGAACTGCGTATGCTTGTTTTCTGTTCTGTGTTCAGCACCTGAACGTACAGAGTTTCTACATCTGCAGCAGTTTAACCTCAGACGCACTACAAGAACTTAAAGGAGGTTAGAACTACTTCCTGCCTTTAATCTGGATCTGTTGTGGTCATTAACAGCATTAATATCCTCCGGCTCTAGGTGGGTGGTCGTCTGTCTCGACCAGTTGGGGTGAGAGAGAGAGAGAGAGAGAGAGAGCGAGAGACAGACAGACAGACAGACAGACAGACAGACAGACAGACAGACAGACAGACAGACAGACAGGTGCACAGCAACAACAGTATTGGCAATGGCAATCTAACAGGACCATGGCAGAAGGCTCCACCAGGATCGATAAGAACCTGCGAGACGAGAAAGCACAAGAACTCCGGGGAAGAAGTGAAGTTAGTAACATGCATTAATGGAACATGAATGAGTGCAGAAAGAGAGAGGAAGAGAAGAGCTCAGTGCACCATGGGAAATCCCCCGATAGTCTAGGCCTATAGCAGCATAACTAAGGGATGGTTCAGGACTCACCTGATCCAGCCCTAACTATAAGCTTTATCAAAGAGGAATGTCTTAAGCCTACTCTTGAATGTGGTGAGGGTGTCTGCCTCCCGAACCACAACTGGAAGCTGGTTCCACAGGAGAGGAGCTTGGTAACTGAAGGCTCTGGCTCCTGTTCTACTTTTAGAGACTATAGGAACCACAAGTAGCCCAGCATTCAGAGAACGTAGTGTTCTAGTGGGGTAATAGGGTACTATGAGCTCTTTAAGATATGAAGGGGCCTGACCATGAAGAGCTTTATAGGTGAGGAGGAGGATTTGAAATTCTATTCTACATTTTACAGGGAGCCAATGAACAGTGTTTGTTTGGACCATCTTGTATTTCTGGCTCTGTGGCTCATTATAGAGGAACAGGTGATGACTGCAGGTGTTTGAGGGACGAGTTCAACCTGTTTGTCGTCTACAGTCTCTCTGTTCTCTATGTTTCACATATTTGTTATTAATTATTATTAACGTACTGAATGTGTCTCTGTCAGCCTCCTCCAACATGCTCCGCCTCCTGCTCTACCTGTCTGCGCTCAGCCAGCTCACAGGTAACAACTCACCTTCCTCCAGCGCTCAGTGGCGCCACCATCAGTCCAGACTTTATCCGCCAACTTTTTAAGACTTAAATCTTAAAACAATTTAACTGTAATGTCAAAATATATTTTTTCTCTAAATAGTAAGTTCAAATATTATAATACATTATATATTAATACAATTTTAATCTTCCTAATTCTCATCTTAAAATATAACTTTTTTATTACTTTTAATATTTTTTTCCCTAAATGTTTTGACTAATGCAGAAATATTATGAGTTTAGTTATATATTAGTCTTTAATATATTATAACTATATTTATTAACCAATTTCCAAATACAACTTTATCTCAAAATATTAAGACGTTAAAATATTTCCACTTTTTGTCTAAAAGCCTTGAAATATTTTTGTAATAGTGCAATTTTAATGTTAACATAATATAATATTCTCTTTGAATATTAAAATAAATACATATATAATCAAATAAAAATATATTTTTTTCCCTTTTATTGCAAACATTGTTATTGATGAAATTATTACTTTACTTTTGTTGGTTAACGTTTATATTTGCTGTCTGCAGGTGCGACGGCTCCACTGTACTCCAGTCAAATAAACATCAGCAGCTGTCCGATCCCGTACTTTGGAAAACTTTACCAAACTCTATATGTCAGTAAAGTTTATCTTAGCTTTAGCCTCAGTCTGTTAGCATTGTATCATAACCTGGGGCCTTTTTTTATTGGTTGTATTCTCTCTGACTTCCGCAGGTGAACATCAGCACCAACGGCACACTTGCAATTTGTTTTAACAACTATTTCAGCGAAGGAAACGAGAACGACTGTCTGCTGTTGGATTCGCAGGGATACCTGCAGAACGTTTCCTCAAAGATCAACACCTCTACTGCTAACTCTGGATCGCAGTTTCATGTTGCTCTCGGGCAACTTGCCGGCTCGTCGCCATGCTCTGTGACCCTGATGATGCAGGATAACGCCACCAGCACTCAGGTGAGTCCTGTGCAGATAACAAACCGGACTCTTTGTTTCCTGACAGTTTCTGGACTTTGTGTGTTTCGTGTTTCCAGTTGACCACTGAGATGCGTCCGTTCGGGTACCAGGCCGCTGTGCTTCTAACCATTGCTAATTCCTCCCTGAAGCCGTTTCTGGTGAGTACTCATGTGAGATGTTCGGGGGGAAAGTCTACATGTGTTACGACTTGTTTTTTAACAATGACAAAATAATTGAGTCATGAAGAGCGGTGTTTATTTTTACTTTTATTCAGCAAGAAAAATCTGTACGTTTACGTTTTTTCACGTCTATTTGACAGATTCTTTTTTTGAATTTTTAAATACATGTAAATTATATGAATAAAATTACAAAAATGTAACTGATCAACAATGTTAAATAACATGACAAATCTGTAACTGTAAACAATCAGAACATTTTTGCTCATTTAAAGAAAATGTCCTATTTTTTAAGTAAAAAGATTAAAATACATTTGCAAATCTATAATTTTTTCACAGATATTTACTGTTTATTTAATAGATAAAACTTTTAAATTCAAGTTTAATACTGTTTTACTTTGTTGTGTATTTGTTGTGTAATTTTAATGTATTAGTTGGTTAACTGACAGATATGTTGTATAATGATGGAAGTAGAATAAATGTTGTTTATCAGTGTATAAGCATTGGTAAACTGTCCAAATACAGTTGTTATCAGTGTAAACAGCAATAATTACTGTAATCTCACAGATAATGACTTTTATTACACTTCTATAACTTTTAACATTCACATTAAAATAATAACAATCCAATAATAACAGCACTCTGCTGTAAATGGAAGTCTGATTATTGTATTATAGCAGAGTTCACCTGGATTTACAGATCATTGCATTTTTAACTGTTGTATTTGCTGCAGGAGTTCAAAGTGCATGTCAACGGTGTTGAACTGCGTAACTGGAATATTACAAAGGGCCAAATGCACTACAAGGACATGAGCAGCTGCAGACATTCAGGTGAGCAGAGCCAGCGGGTCTAAAGGGACAGTTCACCCAAAATACAGAAACACATAAAAATAAAAAAAATAATTTGAGATATTTCTGCTTATTGATTTTATTTCATCTTAATTTAATTCAGTTTCATTTCCTTTTACATTCAATTTAAATTCTTACATTTAAATTAAATAAAATTTTCATACTCATATTATTTTCATTTCGGATTTATTTGATCATATTTTATCACCAGTATTGTTTTAATTTATTGTATTTTAATAAAATTTACTTCAATTTATTTTTATTGTGCAAAAACAAAAAGTACAACAACTGACTGTACAGATACAACGGTGGTAAACAGGAATAAAATACAGTAAAACAAACAGTTAAATACAAAAGATGACGTGCAGAACAATAATCTACAGCTATTGCTGTTATTTACCGTCTGATCAACAGTCAGTAATCTGTGTTTTTTCCAGGTCTTGTCTATGAAACGGACACAGTGGCGTGCGACTCTGAGCACTCCTCCGTCGTAACCTGTAACGCGACGGCGGCTCTCAGTGTCAGCCCCTGTGGCTCCTTTACGCGTTGCCATGGAAACGGCCAGTAAATATGGTTTTTTTTATATTTATACCCCATCGAATGTTTACACTGTAAAACCTGATGAGTTAGTTCCACTCAATTACTGGTTTGAAGTGAAACTGAGTGTCTTAAACCATTTAAATGAATTAACTCAAACATTTAAGCATGAAAGATATTTAATTAACTTGCGTTACATCAATTCCATTCAGTTAATTGTTCAGTTGTTGCTTCAACAATACATATCCTACGAGTGCAGGATGAGCCATCAACTACTTTTATTGATTATCAGGAAACTCTAAAATACCATTAAGAATATCTGAAAATACCTAAAACAGGACTTCTTGTCCTCGATTCTGACTTCATGGGACTTTAAGTCAGTTATTCAGTCTTGTTGTTTTAAGAAACATTGCCAGTAGGGCCACTTACAGTATCTCCTCTGCTGTATTGTTGATGCTATAACTCAACATCAAGACTTCCATCATTGTTGCACTGTTAAAAAAAGTGTCAGTATTTGCTAAATATCTAATGATGCTACCTGCCCTCCCCTGTCAGGTGTGTGTTGAAACCCACCTGCACTGTGACTGGACCCGCTGTCATCGATTTCAATGGCAATGTGACCTTTATCCAGAATCGCTGTGCGTACACTCTGATGTCACTTCCGGGCCTTAAGCTGCTTGCCACCTTCCAGGAACGCCGCCGTAAAGACATTAGTTTTTTGGACAGTGTGATCCTGCGTCTGGATGGGCCGTCCGTGGACATTAAACTGGGACAAGGCGGGAAAGTACAGGTAAGCTACCTACAGCTACAGAGAGCAATGAGACAGTTTAAAGGCTCTGTCACACCAACAACAAAAAAGAAAATTCTCAGTGAATTCAATTCAACAGGAAACGGTGAAATACGTCAACTACTCTAGTATGCTGATGATACTCAACTATACATTCCAGTTGGACTTGACAATCCTTTGACTTTACAACCTCATTATCAGCTATGGAGCTTTATTTAAAGTTCCCTGTGTGTAGGATTTAGTACCATCATTCAGATTGCTACTCCCTCACTTCACCCTACCCTTCCAAGTGCAAAGGAGGAACTAAAGTGACCATGAAACATGCAAAAAGCACAAATGTCCCTATCTAGAGCCAGGTAACATAGGTAACAAAACACAATGATTCTTATTTTCTGGTGATTATACACTAATGAAAACATATCTTTGAATATTATATTCCATTTTTGACAATAGATCCTCCTCAGTATTACACATTGGAGCTTTAAGCAAAAATTTAAATTAAAGGCGAACTGAAAATTAAAGGAGAAAAGAAACAGAAGGAAACTGGACGTTGAAATAAGAACCTGATACATCTGAAATCCTGAAATGGAAAATAGAAAAAATTAGATTGCTCAAATTAAAAGTGTTACTACAAAAGCTGATATTGTTTAGTGATATTCACTTTCTTTTATCTTTTTAACATTTAATAATGGTCCAATTATTGTGAATACAAAAAGTATAATAATCTATTGGCCATTTTCTCTTTTCATTTCTGAACAATTAACAAATATTATTAAAGGATTTGTATAAAAAATTCAATTCACCATTTTTGTTAGTCTTACCTACAACCACCAACTGAAGGTTGTTTCTGCCACTGACAGACTCAGATTGTTATTCTCAGTGTCTGACAGCATTGTGGAAAGGATCCCTACAGAGATAGACCTTTAGTCTAACCACAAACCAGAAACCATCTTTGTTAGTCTTTCCAACAATCACCAACTCTGGTTTGGTCAAAATAAATTCTTAATTCATCAAGAATAGTTAGATGTGAAAATATTTGTGAAAAGGGATGCAACATAAGATAATCCTTGGGGACAAATGTTCCCATCAAAGTCTGTCCACTATCAGGCTCAGATTGTTATTCTAAGTGTCTGACAACATTATGGAAAGCTAACTGGTGCCTCTCCCCGTCCCTCTGCAGCTGGACAACACAACGCTGAGCCTGAACAGCTCGTCTCAGACGAAGCACAACGTGGAGCTCTCTAAGGATCAAAACGGAGTCACCGCCAAAGTGTTGCTCTCCAACCTCACTGCTTTTATCATCTTTGATGGCACCACCGCACAGATCCGCATGAATGGTACAGAAAAGTCATCATTATAGGGAGTAGTGTGCATGCGGAGGCACTAATTGGCATACTGTGTCTTGTTGATGAACAGACCAGAGTGAATGAATCTGAATTACAGTTCGATGGTGTAACATTTTTAATCAGTGTTTGTTAATCTGTCTCTAGGATCGGCCTCCCTGCAAGGTTTATGTGCAAACTCCAGCAGCTCTCTAAGTGAAGTCAAGTTCACCGAGTTCAGCTCTGCTAGGTAAGACCTCGTCACCAAACACCTGAACATCCACTGACTGCTGCTTCCTCACACACACACACTGTGTTCTTCCTCTGCCCATTAGCTGCGAGACGGAGCACAATGACACCGTTGACAGTCGGATCAACTGCACCATGATGACTGAACAGTAAGTGGAAACGCACTTAAACACATATCACATATCATATAGCCCTTCCAGAAACAAGCCAAATATTCTTGTATTACTTTTCTAATTCAAAGCATGCTGATTATTTTCTTTTTAGACAAATACATTTCCAGAAACTTTCTTGAGATTCCTTTTAACAGTGAATGCAGGACTTCATTTTACATCGTTATATAAATACACTGTTTATCTCCAACAACAGCTGTAATCTCCTGAAGGAGGCGCCATTCACCTCCTGCAACCACATCGACCCAGAGCCCTACATCACCGCCTGCAACAACACACTGTGCAGATACCCGGCGGTGGACAGTCTCCAGTGTCAGTTCCTGGAGGCCTACGCCAGAGCCTGCGGCCTCCTCAATGACACTCAGGATGGCTGGAGGTCAAAGACCCGCTGCTGTGAGAGCATCCTTCAGTTTTATTGTCCGGTTCCCCATTTACAAACCATCCAGGCTGCATCAGAGGGGTGGAAAACTCACTGTCACACCGTCATGGCAATTTTTGTAATACACTTGCTATTAATGAAGCAACTTCATGGAAGCCATTCAATTTCAGGCAGCAGCTAGCAGCAGTGCTAAGGCTAACACAGACTACACCAAGGTAGCTCTACAGGTTGAAATCATACATGTATTAAAAGTCCTAGATATTGGACGCCAAGATGGTGCCTACTCAGTTTAATGAGAACTGGTAATCTAAAAAGGTTGGCCCTCCCATAGCTGCACCGGTGTAAATATATATTCTGAGAGATTTTCTAAAAGCCTGTTCTGCCAGCATATCGTAACCGTGAACCACGTTAAACCATAATTATTAACACCAATGCTGTATCCTGTAGGTACAGCGGCCACAACATGCAAACAAATTTAGTAGTGGGAAATATTTACGTGTTATCTGGGTTTCGCACAGGGGCGTGGAAAAATGGCATGACAACAACCCACAATCTGCAGCCGAAGCCGAAGGTTTGGTGGTTGTACCTCAGTGTTAGCCGCCTTTTTATAGGGGCAATAGAATCTAGTGCCTCGAGGAATGTGAGTATTAATATGACTGGGGGGGTGGATTCATTTAGGCTAACATACTCCTCGTGGGACAACCAGGTCTCAGTAAGACAAAGTAAATCAATATCATAATCTGATATTAATTCATTCACTAAAACAGCTTTAGAGGACAGAGACCTGATATTTAACAGCCCACATTTCATTCTCTTATTTTGTGCTACTGAGGAGTTGGTTTTAATTTTTATTAGATTTTTATGTTGAACTCCTCTTGTTTTTATTTCTTTAAATAATTTAGGTGGTCGGGGGACAGACACAGTCTCTATGGGGTTTTGGGTGGGTGACTGTTCTAAAGAAAGAGCAGAGAAGTGTGTAAGACAGCAGCTCTGCTTCCTGGTCCTAACTCTGGACTGTCAGGTTTTAGAAATAAACTTTGCCATATTTCTAGATAAGAGAGCCGCTCCATCCAAAGTGGGATGGATGCCGTCTCTCCTAATCAGACCAGGTTTTCCCCAAAAAGGCTTCCAGTTATCAATGAAGCCCACATCGTTTGCTGGACACCACCTCGACAGCCAGCGGTGGAATGACGACATGCGGCTATACATGTCATCACTGGTCAGATAGTGACCTCTGATTAGCATAATTGCGTTACATTTATCTTTAGCCAGCAGTTTTAAATAGGATTGGATGTCACCCGCTCTGGCCCCAGGGATACATTTAACTGTGGCCGCTGGCTTCACTAACTTCACATGCCTAACTATTAAGCTGCCAATAATCAGAGTTGGTTTCTCGCTGTGTCGCTGAGTGGGGAAAATCTATTGGACACATGAACCTGTTGGTGGTGAACTGTGGGCTTCTACTGCCTGGAACTATGCTTCCTTCAGACAGTCACCCAGCCTCCCTGGCTTCCAGGCTGCTCTTCATCACTGCTTGCAGCTTTAATTCCTTTTTTCCATAGTCTTTTTATTTTCCACTGCACCTACATTTAAGAACCAGTAGGAATCAGTAAGTTTTTTATTGGTACCTGATTCATAAGGTGCATTACTGTCAGACGGCCCTGGCCTCCCCCTAGTCCATTAATTCCTGATGGACACTTATTTCTATTTATTTCATGTTTAAAGTGAGTTTATTAAAGTTACTTTCTGATTAAATTATTTCTCTTGGCAGCCCCCTCTCAGGGTTTCTGTCAGGACACCTACTGCAGTGATCATGAGTTCTGTGGTGAGGATATAACTGGTCGATCCAACTGCCTCTGTCGGGCTGATTTTGCTGCCAAGTACAAATCAACAGGTGATTTAGGTAAGACAGCTGTGACACAACAAACTGATCCTTATGGTCTCAGGTATTACACTCTGTGTAGCATCACAGACTTCACAAGTTAGGTTTCCCTAAAGTTGTTGCACAACAACAAAAAGTATTTAAGACAAGACTAATGGATCGGCACATTTAACTGCTGCTTCCCACCGAAGATGCATTTGTGTTTTTTAAAGTTGAGCGGTGATAGAAACATTTTCTCAGAACCCTGAAATTCACTGTTAACATACATATTTTATGATTTTTATTAGTTCTTGACTTTGTTTTTATGAACAATAAGTAAAACTTTTCTGCTAATATTCACTATTATCCAAATACATGCAAGCAGGTACATCAGATTCAGCCTTAACTCAGCATTCTCAACCATCATTTTCTTAAAGACTCTTTAAGTAGCCTGGTAAGAAGAGAATTGCAGCAATCCAGCAATGTGTAATAAAACCGTGTATCAGCATTCAGGTTCATTGTCAGTTAGAAATAGTCTAACTTTTGCCTCTGGCCAGCCCTGAAATCTGATTGGCCACCTCATTATCCTTCCCTCTGCCACTCCACACTGTCTTTTAGAGGTTGTAGTGGGCTCTGTTTTAGTGAACATACTGTTATCATATGAAATTAGATGACTGAACACATCCATTGGTACTAACCATGTTGGGAAGGAGCCTAAATAACACTGGACATTTTGAAAGGGATCTTCTGGCCTGCTATTACACATTGCTTGGATTACTGCAACTCTCTTTTTACCAGCCTACTTAAAGAGTCTTATGGTTGTTAAAATGGTAAAATTATGGTTAATGATAATTAATTATTAATGCTGAATCTGGTGTACCTGTTTGCACCCTGGCCAATATCAAAAGTCTGTGACACAAAATCAGCCACACTAACTATAACTTTCTTGTCTAGAAGATACCAGTCAGTACTGCATGGATAAGTGTTTTATTTTACTTTTTTCCTGGTGTCCAGGTGACCCGACGGTCTGCGGGAACAACACTGCTACAGTTTCTCTGCCGGGTTGTCTCCTGACAGAAAGAGGCATCAACCACTCTGTTTTACACCTCAACAACGACAGCTGTAGAGGTTATATGGATGAAAAGACCCACATAATGACCTTCAGCTTCAACAGTAGCAACCCCTGTGGGGCAGTGATCTTGGTGGGCACCTCTCCTGCACTAAAGGCCTCCAACAAAGGAGATCGCCTTACAGAGTTTGAAGTCTCCTTTTTGTGTTGGATTTGGGGGGCACTAAGTCCAACAATTTTTTGCAACTTTCTGACTGACAACCTGACAATCACGCCTAGTTTACACAGTGTTTGTCTCCCACTTGCTCTCTTTTTTAATTCTTCACACAACTACTTCTGTCAGTTTGCACATAAACAACTGAGTGCCACGTGATGAATGTTTGTATGATTCACGGTAATATTAATGTAGTCCATTCCAATCCAACAAGCATTTATTTTGAAGCAGACTGAGACCTTAAAGATTAGTTATGTTTGTAGCACCTCTGATATCATGCAGTAACACTGTCTGAATCTCTGTGAACTTGCAGGCTGACAACAAGACAGTTACCTACAAAAACACCATCAAGACAACCGACAGCAACTCGTCTGCTCTGATCTCTCGCCAAAGCACCATAAACCTCGACTTCTCCTGCTTCTACAGCCAGCCGGACGACAAACAGATAACTTTCAAAATCAAAGGAAGGTGAGTAGTTCAACCATCTTAACCATCCACAGCTTTTAATAATTTATATATTCTTTTGATTTGTTTTTTACAGTTAAAATGTGAAACGTTTTGTAACAACAGGCTATCCCAATATAATGTGAAATGTTTTATGATATAACAAAATAAATAATAGCTTATTGTTATAACAAGATATTTTCCTGTAGTAAACCATTGGAAATGAGGTGCTACATCTTAGGGGCTATTTATTCCATAAATTCAAACAAATACAAACTTATCACTTATGAAAAAAACGTTTATTTTGTTATAACGTGTTATAAGTTATTACGTTATAACATTTTATACAGTAACTTATAACAATATAACAATATGAGTTATGCGTTAACAGAGAACGTTCTATAACAATAAGTTATCTTGTTATAATGAGAAATGGTTCATGTTAAGATAAATAAGATATTGTTACAACAAGATTTTTTAGTTATGTCGTGATAAGTTTATATGTCGTATTAACGTGAAAATATCTTGTTATTGATATAATATAATAATAAACTTTTCGCATTATAATGTGATACTGATCCATTCGTCTTTTTCTGGGGTGGCAGCAATACGCTGTCGTTATCCAATAGCTGTTGTATTATTATAGTTTATATTTCCTTACACAAACAATAATGAGGATGGCTTGACTGACTTTAAGACTATTTTTTTAGGTTAAGGTGAGTGTAATTTTCCAGAACATAAATGTGTGTTTGTGTGTGTTCTCTAGCACTGGGCTGCGGCAGGTTGTATCTGGAACTTGGAATTACAGTTTGTCTATGGGCATGTTCAGTGACGCTGAATGCACTAAACCCATCAACTTTACCAACGGGGTCACGATGGGCCAAACCATCTACATCAACCTGGACACCGACGGGCTGGATGGCAACGTAATCAACCTTGTGATCGAGTCTTGCTCTGCAACCAGCAAGGCAAATGACAATGGTGGTCCGAAGTATGACCTCATCAAAAACGGGTGAGTAGTAGGTACTGTTTCCAGACTACAACCGTGTGCACACTGTCACCATTACATCACCTGTGCACACATATAAAGTGCTGTGAAGCCTAGACTTTCAGGTTTTGGGGTTAGGGTTAGGGTATATTAGGGTAGCCAAGGGTACATTTATATATATATATACATAGATATATAATAACAGAATTTTGAGCAGATTATTTCCTGTGAATATTGATATTGTATATATTGTTTATTGCCATTAGCCATTTATGAATTTAGTCGCTGACATTAAGGTCTGAAGATCTGAACGTGACTCAAATTATAATGGTTCAGAATTGGATGTAGACTACCGGTGATCAAACTTGTGACTTGTATGTTTTGTTGTCTCTGAGCAGCTGTGGGAACCCGAACGACAAGTCGGTGAAAGTCTTGAAAAACAAAAAAGGGGGAAGCATCATAGCCTTCGAGATATTTAAGTTCAAAGGGAGCAACAGCGGCGTTTTCCTGAACTGCAAAATGAAGCTGTGTGTGAAGAACAACCCCAGCTGTCAGCCGGTAACACGTCTACACATACACACAAACCCATATTATTTTGGTTTTGTCATTATTATTCTTTAAAGATACTACAGTTCACAGAATGCTAGTCCTCCTGTTGGTTGTTAAACATGAAACTATATATTTGTGAGGAGTTTTCTCTGAAAGTCTTCAGTAGAAACCAGTGAGCTTGGAGCTGACAGCCACTGGCAGGAAGTCAGACAGTACTGAGAGACTAACATGTTGTTGTTTGGGTGTAAACATGGGATTCTTTGACAATAAGGAAAATACAGATAACACCAGATAACTCTAGCAAAACTCTGCAAAGGTATTCAAGTCAAATACAGTTATATAACAGCACCAAACCCTCACATTAGAGAAATCATTGATCAAAAGAACTGGTGTGTAAACTTTCTCTATGTCTTTAACTGTGTATCAGAAATGCCAGCAAGGTGGGAGGAAACGGAGATCTTTGAGGCCTTTGACCTTTGACGATGAAAACCCAGCCATCGTCACTTTGGCCTGGACTTAGGTAACACACGACTCTGCTGCTGCTTTCACTGACATCCAGGAGAATTTAGTTTCATTAGATATACATTAGAGTTCATTTGTGGTGAACCTTTACCTTTAAAATTGTCTGGCCAACTGGGCAAAGACAACAATAAACAATTTACGGTTCGTTCAGCAGATTCTGGAGCTTCGAGGCAACAGCGACAAAACAGGCAGACTGGAAAACAGGGGAGAAAGATAGAACATGGAAAAAGAAAAAAGATGTATTTGTAGTCACATCTTACGTTAGCTAATGTTAACAAAACTCTAGCTAACTACCTAGCTAGCTTACTTAGTTATCTAGAGTTTTGCTAGAGAGCAAAACACTAGTTAACTAGCTAACTAATCTGCATTAATCATTAACTGACTAGTTACATCTGATAGCTAATGGTAGCAAAATGGTAGCTAACTAGCAACAGTTGATGTAGATAAGCTAGCTAGTTAGCTAGTGGTTTGCTAAGATTAGCTAATTGATGTAATTATTATTTTTATATATATCTTTTATCTTTTAACCATCTTCAAAATGTGGTTGTCTTTTCAGCATAGATTGGCCTAGCATATAGCATATCTAAGTACAGGAAAGGAGGAGGTTGCTTAACTGTGATTTGAGCACAGATCAAAAAGTGATCGGACCCAAACGCTGGAAGTGTCAACTTTCTGCCCGAAGCACTGTTGCAGCCAGCAGTGTGCTGACGTATGGCTCAAAGTTTTGCACGGAGGACTGCTCTGATTGGTGATTTATCAAATTTGCAGAAAAGTTTTCACAACATTGCAAGTTTGACAGTTTGATCTGAGTTTGGTGCGTTGAGCTGGACGGACTCACTGAGAATGAGCTGTCAATCACAAGGTAGCCCCGCCCTAAAGCATACCCTGCTTTATGGTCTGTTTTACTCTAAATGGGACCATCAGTTACTAAATGAACATCATGCTGTATGGAAGAAGACTGAAACTAGAGACTGAGACCAGAAACTCATCAGGAAACTGTTCACTGAGCTCATAAAGGAAGTCAGAAGTCGGCTCATTTCTCCATAAGACTGCATGCCAGTGGAGCTCCCCCTGCTGGCCTTTGCATAGAATGCAGGTTTTTAAGACACTTCCGCATTAGCTTCACTTCACAGACCCAGAAACTCTGTCTATTATATATGCTGTCAATGGTCCTTACCCAAACTGGCCTGCTTTTACATTACTTGGTATATGCCATAGCCGTCCTCTAAAATTGCTGGTGATAAAGTACCTAGTTACAGTAAGGACTGATAACTAACACTAGTTTGTTCTGATTGTCTTCTCAGCTTGTTTCCACGGCGTCTCGGACTGGCTGACTGGCTGTCGACCTTCAGAATGACTTCCAGACTTTTGCTTTATCCCAATCAAGGGTCTTGATATCTGAATCCATTAAGTTTTAGAATGACATGTTCTAAAAAGATTAGCTCACTCATCAGGCTGATCAGATGTGCCCTCCTCTGTGATTTATCCATCATACAGAGAGTTTAGTTTAGAGTGAGTCAGATCTTTGTTTCACAGGAGTCCACACCACCTTCACACAGCGAATATTGAGGCCACAAATATGTGACCTGTTCTATGGAAGTAACAGGAGAAGCTCTTATGCTGGGATGTCACTTTTGAACCAACTACAACTCACCCAATTGAAAGGGATTCCAGTATATACTAGGTATTTCTCTTACAGTTACTGTTTTTGGAGCAGAGAGCAAAAAGGGGTGACATGACTTTCTATGTCATAACTGTGACTTCACTTTTTTTTTATCAAGACTAAGTTTTCTTTTTACTTTACTGGTGGATTGGGCTTCTATACTTCTCAGATGATTAAATGTCATGATTTCTGTTCAGTTTCTGTCCTCCATTTCGGAGTTCCCAGGCTGATATCCTGGAGTCTGATTCCAGCATTACACATAATGACTAACTGGATGGACTGATTCTGTAATCAGTACAATCATTTTACTTTTAACATTTTTACTTTAATTCATGTTTTCAAATATTATCATGTCATTACACCTATCACATATGTCTACATCACTAACGCATCATACGAACCATTTGTGATGGAGACCCGACCCACAACTTTTCAGTCAGTCGTTTGGTTTCTAGTAAGTTTATCACAGCTGTATGGGAATTTATTCTCGTATAACCAAGAAATCATGATAATATGACAAAAAGTAATCTAATGATTTTAACATGTAGGGAGGGTTTCTTTGCTTTACTGTCCAGCATTGTGGGTTCTCTATGAAATTACTGGAAATTATCAACTGTGATTTTTACATTCGCACTCCAGAAATGAAAACAGTGATGTTTTCTTATTTTTGCCACTAAATTCATTTATTAAAAGGTCCAGTGTGTAGGATTTAGTGCCATCATTCATATCGCGCCTCACTTCACCCTACCCTTCCAAGTTTGAAGGAGTTGTGTTGCAACCATCAACATCAGTTGCCTTACTGACCACAGTTTGTTACTTTACTGTATTTTCAAGTTTCTAATTGTCTGTCCTGTTGATGGAGAGCAGCAGCCGGCAGGCTTTTGTCAGTTCATGTCAGTTCACACTCAGCTGTAGATTCCCTGCGAAAAGCAGTCAGTTGTGAGAGAGGCTTTGTGACAATAAGGTTTAATATGACGAGAGAAAGCCCATCTGAACGCCATGTCAACAGGCTGATTATCTGTTGTCCTCTCTGATACGAGATGCTGGTGTACTGTTTCATCTTCATCTTCTTTGTCTTATTATAAAGTTTGTTTAAGCATCAAAAAGTAAAAAATAAAAAATAGGAATGTGGGTAAAAGACACACATGAGTTTGGGTTTTTTTCAGCACTGTAAATCCTAAAAACACATCTTAATAAAAGAAGTTAGCTAACATAACTTAATCCTCCAAAAAATTCAGTTACACATTCCCATGAATTAAATCCAACTCAGGAAGGGATCGTTGAAGGAATAACTGAGAGAACTGAAATATGTGCATTATTTTAAGTATTGGTGATTTATTTCCAGTATCTCATTGGCCATGCTGTGGACTAAATTTCAGATTTCTTTCTTTCTGGATAATTGCGATGCATGTTGAGTTGTTTTTTTAATGAAATTGCAGAAAGTGAAATAATTCATTTAAAACTGAAGGCAACTTGTTCCAGTGAGACAGGGATTGGTTGAATTTATCTTAATTCCTGGAGGTCCAGTGATATCTTTGACATGCATTTCTATTTCTGGATTAGTCTATCAACATTTTAATATTCTACACAATAATGTTTTACTATAAAAATGAACACATTGTTATACATACGTTAGTAATCAGACAGCAGGCTGTGGAGTGACAAAGTGAGTATTTATATTATATTCCCCTTACACACACACACACACACACACACACACACACATCTTTAGTTACAGTTGGTGCTCAGTGTTGAGTAATAAATACAATAATAATAATATAAGCAACAGTTGTCTTCAAATATACAAAATACCCTGCATATTACTGTCAAGTTGAATGAAAATGACACCAGAGGAGCAGTGTAATGATTACTCCGTTTTCACCTCAAACTCTGGGTTTAGACCGATGATCGATGTTCAAATCAAATTCAAATTCAGATTTAAAGTGATACTCAGTTCTTAATTTATGCTGATTTTAATTTCCCAGAGTGGGAGGTGACACCTTCACATGTCAACAAGAGATTCTTTACTGTGAAAAACCCAGAAAGTCCTCACCATGAAGAACCTGCAACCAGAGAAGCAAAGACACTCAGTCTCTATAGTGTGTGTGTATATACAGAATATATATTCTTTAAAATGCCCAGAGGATCCTTTGGGTGTTTGTTCCTGAAGTGTTTTGGTTGACAGACAGTTGAGGGAATATTTGGCTAAAAATCTGAACAACAAACCTGCAAACTGATGGATGAGACAGGAACTAGCTAGCTAACGATGTAGATTAGCTAGCTACGAAGCTAGCATTTTGCTAACATTAGATAACTGTGACTATATATATATATATGTCTCTTTTATCTTTTATCAAATGTGGTTGTCTTTTCAACATAGATTAGCCTAGCATATAGAATATCTTTTAGGAAGGGATGTTAATCTAATGACAAGAAATTCTCTAAATAGAAAGATCTTTATGTTACAGTTAACGGATCTCATAATTATGATTTGGTGTCTCATAGTTATGAGATCGGAATTTTTAAATTAGGAGAAAACGCTCATAAATCTCTTAATGAAGAGAAAACAACAGGCGTAGATTTGGATATGCACGGTCAGGTCTACACAGAGTTGCCAGGTTTGCGTAGCAAAAGATCTGCTTGTTTGTATCTTATAATTATGACACAATTTTCTCATAAAAATAAAGAAACAATCTCATATTTTTAAGATCTTTGTCTTATAATTAAAAGAAAACAAGCGTAACAACCTAACAATAAGAAGATATGATCCCTGTAATTGTGAGGATTGTATCTCATAAAACTATATCCTAATTCTGACATCCTCAACATATAAAATGTTTTCTTGTAATTATGAGAAATTGATCGCATTAATATAGAACCTTTGCATTTTTTACAATCATGAAATAATTGTTCTGCTCTGGTGAAATCAGATTAATTGTGTAATTGTTAAATTCTTCGCCCGTCCAACAGTTTGCAGGTTGTCACACAGACGTGGTTGTATACAAACAGTCTTAAATAATGAGTGCAAAGGCATGCAGCACCTTCACCTCAACCAGTGCAACATCATCAACAGCTGGAAAGTCGACAAATCCAAAAGAAGTCAGAGTTGCAGGATATAAAACAGAGATTATAACTCTGAACAAACAAAAAGCACAACGTGGTCACTGTTAGTGTCCGTGCAGTGGGTGTCCATAAAATTCTTCACATGGATGTAAGAGTGACTGAGCTGTGACCTGAACCCATCCTGCTGCAGGACGGATGCAGGGTTGTGCACACTCCTAATGCAGAATGAATAGAATATGCAGATGATGCATTCATGCTGTGCTGATGAAGACTGCGTCAAGTAAAGTGAAGTTTCTGGAGGATTAAAGGTCCTGTATTCAGACAGAAAGTTAATGTTTGTTTGGTTCCAAGCTGATCTGAAAGTGACTACAGACCAAAGGCCTGATCCCAGCACTACGTCTGCTGGCTGGAAAACATGAGGTCATCACAGAGGAAACAGTTTTACACCACTTCCTAACATACAGAGAGCAGACGACAGATCTCTGGCAGATATAACAACAAACATGCAACGTTATCTAACTAAACCATTCTGTTAGTTACTGGAAGCTTTTGGAGGTTTTCACAGTAAAACTGAAGTTTAACATGAATTTGACAAAGCAATTTAAGCAAATGACAAAACATAAAAAATAGTCACTAGAAAGTGACTTATGTTTAATGTGTAACTTCAGTGGGCTTTTCTAACAACAGGGGAACATAGAAAGTAAATGTCTGTATGTCTCCTCCTGTCTGTGTTAAACAAAATGAAATAAAAGAATAAAAAACATGCAATATAATATGTTTAATTTAATATATAATATATAAATTTATAAGTTAAACAGTATGGCATCTGAACACAGTTTGAATTAATACATATATATAATTCAAGTTTTCATATATATATTAAAACTTAAATTGTACTTAAAGAAAAGAGCCTTTCTTGTAGCAAACTTTTTATGAAAAGCTTGGGAGAAAAGGCAAAATATTTTGTTGTTGTTTAAGGCCGAGCCATATCATAATGTATAATTTGTAATTTTGTAATGGAATCAAATGTTTGATTAATGCTGATCTGCTGCTATACTGTTTTTTGTGTCTTGTAAGCCCATGAGGGTTGGGCACTTTATGTGCATGACACAAAAATAAAATCAAAATCGAAATATGTTCTGACTGTAAAATAGTATGTCATCTGCATACAGTTTGAATTGAGTTTAAATTGCTTCAAAATATATGAACTTTCTGTCAAGAAAAGCAGGCAATTTGAGTACACACATATGTTTAAATTTCTGACTGTAAAATAGTAAGTCATCAGCATACAGTTTTATGTATATTTTGGCTGTTTAAGCTGCAGCCAACAGTGCAATGTAAACTGCAAATAGAGAGGGAATGAGTGGACATCTATGTCGTATAAAATGTTCAACTGATTCAATATTTCCTTTAAAAAGTTTTAAAATATGTGAAATTTCTGTTGAGGGAATCAGATGATTTGAATACGGGACCCTTAAGTGCTACTCTGAAAACATTTAAAGTGAAATATTCCATGTGGCTGCCTGTGCTGAGTGTAAGTGCTGCATTTGTGTTCACCATGAACTAAATTACAATAATCAGATTGTACAGTACAGCGACTGTCAGTGTGCTTGACAGAGAGGAGAAAGAGGGAAGAGGACAGAAGAGAAAGAGATCCAGTAACATTTCCATTCATAGCTCAGCAGTTCATCTGCACTGAGAAGTCTCTTTATGGATGCTGCTGGAGGAAGAATCGTCCCATTTAAACCAGCTGACGGCACAACTACTGACCTCCGCAGTGTGAGACACAGATCTGAGTGAAATCCAATCTGTTAAGGTCTTTAACAGCTGTCCATGTTTAAGTAAATATGAACTGAAGCTGGTTTGATGGAAGCAATATAAAGATCAGAGGACAGAAACATACTGGTGTTCTTTTAGCACATTAACTACAAATCCTGTTTACCTCTAAATCCCACCTTAATTTTATATTCTCAGTCTCAGTTTGAGCTCATTAAGAAATAGTATCTCTTTTTGTAACCGATTTATTTTGATTATATGATTTCAATGCATTTATATTTTTTACATTTGTTGACCAAGTGAATTAAACACAAATGTAAAGTTATTAGTCCTTTTAATTTCCCCAAATTGTCAAATCTGACTCTTTGATATTTTTACCTTTAAATTAAGTAAAAGCTAAATTGAAAGCAAAGTTCTGACCCCTCAAATTCACAAGTACTATTACATATTTTTAAATAAAGTAGTGAGCACGTAGCAGTATATAGTATATACTTAAGACATGAATAAAAGTCAAATTTTGTCTCTTTAATTCTTTTATATGTATGTTCTTTTATATATCTCAAAACTACGTCAAATGTATAAGTAAAGTAAAATAAAGTGAAGTGAAGTTTTGTCGTAAAGTTTCTGAAGACATTAAGTGTGGACATTTTAGTCTCATCTTAGCCAAAGAAAACTGTGACCATTTCAGTTCAGTATTTTAGTGTTGTGAACATCAGCTTTTTTTAGATTGTTGCAGCATAAGTTGCCTAACTTCATTGCAGTTTTTCTCAAACATTGTGATGCATATTGCAATGTTTTTAGGCTTTTTTTGCAATGAAATTTCAGGAGAAAGTGAAAAGTGGAAAAAATTGTGTAAATTATATTGTTGCATAATTCATTGAAAATCGAAGGCAACTTCTTCCAGTGAGAATACAATCTCTAGCAGTTTAGTGACAAAGCTCAACATTATGCTCTGATTGGTGAAACTCAAAGGAACTATGGTGATTGGTCAGATTTGCAGAAAAGTTGTGGTGAATTTACAGGAATTTGCTGAACTTGTGTTACTTGTACAGCTTTCCAATAATATTTAATCCATTTGATTTTAAGATAAAGGAACTGCTTTGCAGAGAGCATGTTTGCTCTGGTGTTATTAATTATTTAAGCAATATTTCTTTTGAACCAACAAATTAAATCTATAATTTCTAATATTAAACAGTGTATAAACTCTAGAGCTATGTTCTATATGGAGTTGATCAATAATCAATAATCAGAAGCTGTCATACAATGACTGTTTACTATCCACTGTTTAGATCTTGTTACTTTTTAACTCTAGATTTGAACCGGATGAAGGATTTTAGTCATCAGACGTCTGGATCTTAAGAACATTACATAACATACAGGTTCGAAAGAAAACTTTTAAATATTTGTAAAGTTTGTTTCATAGAGGAAGAAAGTTAATCAATCTGAAAACTGATGGATTATTGGAAAATTGATGAGAATGTGAAGGAGACAGGATTTATAATCAATGGGCTAAAACAGCAGAATGGTCCTTTGAGTGTGAATTTAATGCATGTTGAGAGCTGTTTTTTATCCACCTGTTCTGTTTCTCCCAACACTTTGTCTGTCAGGCTCTTCACTGAGTCACCTCTCTCTTCCATCCATCCAGTTTCTCTTCGTTCCTTCTCGTCCTCCCATAAACTCCCTCCAATGTCTGTCAGTTAAAACCTCCCCCCTCCTCCAGCTACCACATGTAAGTCTTTGTGGTGTCGATCTGACTCCCTCCCGCCTCCTCCACTCTCCCTCCTGCCTCTTCCTCCTCCTTGTCATCTTTGTCCTTCTCGGCCTCGCTCTCCCACAGCGTGATGAGTGGCGGGTACAGCTCGTTCAGGGGGATGGACGTGGCGTGCTGTATGTACTTCTTCAGCGAGTGGCCACAGGACTTGTGCTGCTGCACGCGGCGGCCCATGTAGACAACCAGCAGCGCCATGATGGACAGAGCGAACATGGAGCCCATGACGGCTGCCAGCGCCACGCTGCTGCGCCGCGACGCCACCATCTCCACCGAGAACCCCGCCTCTTTCGTGGTGACATTCAAACAGGAGGTGTGGACAGGAGAGGAGGGGGAGGAGGAGGTAGAGATGGGGTTGGGGGAGGAGCTGGGAGAGGAGGAGGGGGAGGTGAGGGAGGGAGGAGAGGAGGAGACAGTGAGGCAGACGTGGTACTCCGTGGCAGGAAGGAGGTGAGTCAGATTATACTCCTGAACATCAACAGGAACCTGCGAGGAGGGGGGGTGGAGATAAGTTACCATAGTTACAGAGTCATGACATCACTTCCTGTCTACCAGCTGGTATTACAGACAGTGAACTCACCACAGACACTGAACTGTTCCACTGTTATTACAGACAGTGAACTCACCACAGACACTGAACTGTCCCACTGTTATTACAGACAGTGAACTCACCACAGACACTGAACTGTCCCACTGTTATTACAGACAGTGAACTCACCACAGACACTGAACTGTCCCACTGTTATTACAGACAGTGAACTCACCACAGACAGGTGTGCTCACCTTGGCGGTGTAGCTGATCTGGGGGTTGTCGATGTGCACGGTAGCACTGATCCAGTGGGGAAGAGGGAGGGGGGAGTCCTGCTGGTTCAGACCCGCAGTCGAAGGCCCCCCGCTGGGATACAACTTCCACTCCAGCACCACCGACTGGGCGTGAACCACCTGCACAGGTAACAGGAACAGTAAATGTCTCATTACCTCCGAAAACATACAACAGATGATGAACGTAGGAATATTATAATCAGTATTATCAATATTACCTTCGCCAGCACCACCAGAGAGGCTGCGGGGCTGGACCAGTTCCCCAGCCAGAGCTGCTCTCTGCTGGGCTCACCACTCCACCGGCTCCCCCCACCGGACCACCAGCCCACAGACCCCTGGGAGTCCACAAACACTGAGACACTCTTTGTGTCCGCGCCCTCTATGTTCCACGCCACACAGGTATACACACCTGAGAGAGACAGACAGACAGAGAGAGACAGACAGAGGGAGGTTAATATCTGAATGTCTGTCAGCCCTCCTGCAGCTGTAGCGCCCCCCACAGGCTCAGACTGACCAGCGTCTGACGGTTCTGCGTGTTCGATCACTAACGCTCCGGGTTCTGACACTCGATGCTTCTTCTTCTTCCTTCTGCTCAGGCCACGCCCCTCCTCTGATATGATTGGTGCAGCCATCGCCTCCGAGCTCACCTGACCAGGAAGGAACAGAACAAACTGATTGTCGGGAGTTTCCTTGAACACACCAGCAGCATTTTCGGGAAGCTCTTGAATGCATCACCTCTACGTCTACACTCGTGACTCCGCCCACCTTGTCTCCAGTGGGCGTCACCCAGTAGAACTGGGGGGCAGGGTCAGCGTCCGCCCAGCACTCCAGTGTGATTGGCTGCCCGCCGCTGACGTTGATGGCGGGGGGGAAGGTTTGAGGAGAGATGTGAGGCAAGCAGCTGTTGGTCCCACCCCAGCCGCCGTCGGCCGCGCCCCACCCGACCGCCACCACCTCCTGCAGCTCCCGACCAACCAGGTGCGGCGGGGAGGAGCAGAGCGTGACGGAGGACTCCAGCATCTTGAGGTGTGATTGGTTGCCGAGGTGAGGCCCCCAGGAGGAGAGACAGTCACAGCGCAGCGGGTTGGAGCGCAGAGACACCTCCTCCAGGGAGGGGAGGGACGACAGGAGGTCCCCAGAGAGGAGGCTGAGCTGGTTACTGTGGAGGAGGAGAGTCCGCAGGGAGGACAGCTCACTGAGGGGGGAGGAGGGGACGGAGGAGGGGAGGGAGAGAACAGAGATAAGTCCTTTCTTCCATCAGACAGACAGACAGACAGGCAGGCAGGCAGGCAGGCAGGCAGAAAGACAGACAGACAGACAGACAGACAGGCAGGCAGGCAGACAGACAGACAGACAGACAGACAGACAGGCAGGCAGGCAGGCAGGCAGGCAGAAAGACAGACAGGCAGGCAGGCTGGCAGACAGACAGAAAGGCAGGCAGGCAGGCAGTCAGGCAGGCAGGCAGGCAGGCAGGCAGACAGACAGACAGACAGGCAGGCAGGCAGGCAGGCAGAAAGACAGACAGACAGACAGGCAGGCAGGCAGGCAGGCAGGCAGGCAGGCAGACAGACAGACAGGCAGGCAGGCAGGCAGGCAGGCAGGCAGAAAGACAGGCAGACAGACAGACAGACAGGCAGGCAGGCAGGCAGGCAGGCAGGCAGAAAGACAGACAGACAGACAGGCAGAAAGACACCTGAAGGCCTGGGGGTGGATGTAAGACAGTCGAGGGTTGTTGCAGAGCTCCAGTTTGGCGATTTCTGGAAGATTCTGGAAAGCTGATCGTTCCACCATCAACAACTCGTCCATGTTGTTCAGACTGCAGCCAAAACACAACAGTATTATAATTATTATTATTATTATTATTATTATTATTATTATTATTATTAATAATACAAGTGTGTGTATTTTATTTTAACACTGTTCAGTCCCTCAGTTACAGTAACTGAGTCTGTCCAGCAGGGGGAGCTGTTTCACAACTGGAACAACAACCAGGAGACTGAAAGAATACAAAATTATAAAATATGAAGTCGGCTAAACTGCAACAGCAGTTTTATGTTAAATAAAAATATGTTTGTGTGACTACCTGGCAAGTCTGTTAGTCTGTCTGTTACGGATTCCAGCTGTTTTACTTCACTATGAACTAAGTTAGCGTAGCCCTGATCAACCAAACTCCATTCAGAAAACAAGCATTTTAAGAGTTGTTTGCTGAGTTCAGATCATGATGTCGTTATTTCAGCATCATTTTGATCCGTTGATTGACATTAAATGGGAACTTGGCAACGTTTAGAAATCATTGGATGGTTAAATGGCCTGTTCCAGTGAAAATGGTGACTTTCCCTGCTCCCCCTCGCGTCCCCAGGCGGAAAACCAACCTTGCAACTTTGGGACTACCGTCCCGTTAAGTTGGAAATAGGAAGTATCGTGAGAAGCGAGAATGAGCGAGAAACATGAACTGCTTTACGGCAATTCTACATAAACGCACACGCCCCCCTCAATACCGGTTAGACACACCGGCTATAAGAACAAGCGACGATGAATGTATTACCCACCTTTGTAGACATTGCTCCACACGACAAAGTTGCCCGGCAACAAATGCACATCAGCAGCGGTAGAAAGGGGGAGGAGGGGCCGCAGGTGAGTTTTTTTACGACAGTGTTTTGAAATATACGTCCCAGAGCTCTAGGGGGAGCTCGTTGAGAAAACATGCGACGACAAAAGTGAAAAACAGCGAAGAAATGGCTAGAGTTGCCAAGTTCCCCTTTAAATCAGAGAAACATCAGATTATTTTGAGCTCAAACCACCGCAGTGAGACAGATTAAAGGGACAACATGTACGTGAGGTGAAAACTAGCTTTGTATTTGGTCTGATTTGATAAGAGCCCACTTCTGCTTCACGTGCATACCAGGAAACAACATTTGGTGCAGCTGTATTGTTGAGGTAACTTTTAGCTGCAGCAGAGTGTGTCCATTATAAACAACTTAAACCAAAAACAAATCATCTGGGTTGCAGGTATTTTGGAAGTTATTCACACTACAGTGAAAATTTGTTATAAATCTGTAGAAATGCAGGAGACTATTTTTGCACTGACCTCAGCTCCTCCAGGTGCTGAAGGTTCTGGAAATCTCCCTGCTGGACTCGGCTGATTGGGTTCCTGTTCAGATCCAGGAACTTCAGGTTAGGGAGCACGCTCAGAGCGTCCCGAGGAACAGACCTACCGGGAGAACAACACTCCACTCAATCCGATGGAACAGTGAGAGACAGTTTAAAAGGGGAACTGAACCAGAGACTCACCTGAGCCGGTTGTCGCAGAAGGAGAGACTCTCCAGGTAGTCGAGGCCCAGGAAGGCAGCAGAGGGGACCGAGGCCAGTCCCATCCCAGCCAGCACCAGGCTGTGGAGGCGGGACAGAGGTAGGAAGTTCTTCTCCTCCAGACCAAGGATGGGGTTCTCCCCGATCATCAGGATCTCCAGGGATGGCAAGGACTCGAACCAGCGACTGTCAATGGCAACCAGCCGGTTGGAGTTCAGGTGGAGCCTAAAGGACCGAACAGAGGGCAGAAAATGGGTTCAGAAAAGAGGTTGTACGGGTAACTGAGAAGGTTCTAGTGACCATTCAAGAGATTCTGAAGGACCTTTAAGGTAGTCCTTAAAGTTTAAGCAGGTCAAGGGTCCTTCGGGAGGTTCTAATGGTCATTGGGGTCGACCTGGTTGTCACTGAGGAGCTTCTAGGGATCCTTTAGATGGTTCTATGGGTTCCGTATGTGGTTTTCGGGGTCCTTTGGGATGATCCAGTGACCATATGAACCTCATATTAAGTCTTTTAAGAGGTTATGGTTACTGAGATGGATCAGGCACTCCTGTAGAGTTCGAGGGTTATAGGGGTAATTTAGGGGGCGCTTGAGGTCCTTTAGGTGGTTCTAGTCTATGTTTAGGTGGTTTTGGTCATTGAGGAGATTAAACCTCAATGACCCATCCTTACCCCTAAACCTTAACCCTAAGGTCGGTGCCGGTGGACAGGTGGGTTTTAGAAAGTTAAAGGTCCTTTGGGAGGTTCTAATGGTCCCACTTTAAACAGTGTTAAAATAAAGAAGAAGTTACCGCAGCAGGTTGGTGAGTCCAGCAAAGGCTTTGGGTCCAATGGAGGAGATGTGGTTGTGGTTGATGTAGAGCTCCTCCAGGCTGGACAGGTTCCTCAGACTGAAGTCCTCCAACTCCTCAATGTGGTTTTCTTCCAGGTACAGAGTCACCAACCGGCCCAGAGAGGAAAGACCTATAGAGATAACCTGGACGGAGAGAGAGAAACAGTTTCTGTTGGACCCGATCCCAACTAGGCTGCTTTAAGAAGTCGTACCCTTAATTGGCACTTTACTGGATGTGATTAATCTTTCTTTATTATCAGGATATGTACCACAGTCCTTTAAAGTAGCTGTAATTAAACCCCTTCTTAAAAAGCCCACTCTTGACCCAGAGGTTTTAGCCAACTATAGACCGATCTCTAACCTCCCCTTCCTCTCTAAGATTCTGGAGAAAGTCACCAAAGAGTTGTGTGACTTTCTACATAACAATAGTTTATTTGAGGATTTTCAGTCAGGATAAAATCCTCCTCCTCACCTATAAAGCTCTTCATGGTCAGGCCCCTTCATATCTTAAAGAGCTCATAGTACCCTATTACCCCTCTAGAACACTACGTTCTCTGAATGCTGGGCTACTTGTGGTTCCTATAGTCTCTAAAAGTAGAACAGGAGCCAGAGCCTTCAGTTACCAAGCTCCTCTCCTGTGGAACCAGCTTCCAGTTGTGGTTCGGGAGGCAGACACCCTCTCCACATTCAAGAGTAGACTTAAGACGTTCCTCTTTGATAAAGCTTATAGTTAGGGCTGGATCAGGTGAGTCCTGAACCATCCCTTAGTTATGCTGCTATAGGCCTAGACTATCGGGGGATTTCCCATGGTGCACTGAGCTCCTCTCTTCCTCTCTCTTTCTGCACTCATTCATGTTCCATTAATGCATGTTACTAACTTCACTTCTTCCCCGGAGTTCTTGTGCTTTCTCGTCTCGCAGGTTCTTATCGATCCTGTTGGAGCCTCTCGCTCTCTCTGTCTCTCTCTCTTTCTCTCTCACCCCAACTGGTCGAGACAGACGACCACCCACCTAGAGCCGAAGGATCTGTCCTAGGTTTCTGCCTTTTAACAGGCAGTGTTTCCTTGCCCTTGTCTCCAAGGTCTTGCTCATGGTGGTACTGTTGGGTCTCTGTAAATAATGTTATAAAGAGTTCGGTCTAGACCTGCTCTATTTGAAAAGTGTCCTGAGATAACTTCTGTTATGAATTGGCGCTATACAAATAAAATTGAATTGAATTGGATGATAGTGGATGATAATTAATGTATGGCTTCATACATTGTCATGTGACTAAACAGGTGTGTTACCTGTGTGAAGTGGTTCTGTGACAGGTCCAGTTCTGTGAGGTTGGTCAGGCTCTGCAGTTCGGTAGTGATGGAGGAGATGTTGTTACTCTGAAGCAGCAGAACCTGAAACACACATTTACAACAAATTCATCACAAAGTCGCTTCAGATCAAATAACAGAGGCAAATTGGTGGAGGATCGCTCCCCTGAGGAGGATCGCCAACCTGAGGAGGATCGCTCCCCTGAGGAGGATCGTCACCCTGAGGAGGATCGCCATTCTGAGGAGGATGGCAATCCTGAGGAGGATTGCTCCCCTGAGGAGGATCGCCAACCTGAGGAGGATCGCCAACCTGAGGAGGATCGCTCCCCTGAGGAGGATCGCCATCCTGAGGAGGATCGCCATTCTGAGGAGGATGGCAATCCTGAGGAGGATCGCTCCCCTGAGGAGGATCGCCACCCTGAGGAGGATAGCTCCCCTGAGGAGGATCACCAACCTGAGGAGGATCGCTCCCCTGAGGAGGATCGCCATCCTGAGGAGGACCGCACTGTGTGAACTGCTTAATGGCGCCGAAGAGAGCTTGCAGAAGCCAGAACAATATGTTGGATGTGTTTCTAGAGTTACTGAGCGTTACCATTACCTGTGTGTCAGAGGAAACGTTGGCTGGTACTCTCTGCAGATGGAGTTCGTTACAGTCCACCGTCCTGGCCTGGTGATACACAGACTGTGGGGTGTACCAGGGCCTCGTCTCACACACACATTGCAGAGGACACAGCACGGCGCCACCTACAGGACGCAGCACACACAACCAAACCTCTGCTGTAAAAATGTGTCTTTGTGGGGCTGTTCATCGTGTCCATCTATAAGCCTTTCCTTTACCTTGACTGGCCCCGCCCACTCCAGCACACACTGATGATGTCACCAGGGAGAGGAGAGTGAAAAGGACTGCAAATCCCATAGTGCACTTGGGGCGGAGCAGAGAGGACATCTGGTTTAAACTGTGGTGATAACTTCCTCCAGAAGGTCAGAGGGAAGCGAGTCTCATCTACAGCTGGATGGAAACACAGGAAGTGATGTCATTAACTGAGCTGGTTCAACTCTCAGTGAACAGTTTATACTTCTGAGCTTTAATCGGTCCTTCCAGACAAACACTGAGTTTTTTTGTGATTGTTGCGGACAAAAATCCTTGATTATGCGGCACGTTTTTTTAAAAAATGCGATCGCAATTTTATGCGATGAAATTGCGGGAACTTGCAAAAACTGCGGCTTCATCGCGGGTTTGCAGCTTTTCGATGACGTTCACGTCGCGTAATTACATCACTTCATAACGTTCCCATGGCAACAGGGGAAAATGGCTGCTCTTGTGTGAAGTAAACGCAACATTTTTCAACTTTCTGATAAGATATATCTGACCTTTTTTTGCAATGAAAATGCGGGGATTCTGAAATCATGCGAGCCTCGTGTATATTGCGCGGAAATCAGCAATTTATGCGGCGAAAGTTCTGCGTGTTTGAAGAAATGCGGCCCCACATAAATATGCAGACTTTGGCTGATTATGCATCGAATTATGGGATCGCATTATCGCGTTTTTCTGGAGGGATTGTATAATAATCTGTTTTTAGTCTTTGTAGAATTTGATGGATGAATTCGGAAGATCGTTTCACTTTTGTTTCAGTTCAGTAACTAACGTTAACTGTACAAGCTAACTAGCTAACAGCATCTAACATTACAGTTAGCGACAGTTAGCTTCTTTTAGCAACACGTCCATCAGGAAACTCCATAAATCCCTCAATCTGTCCTCAATCTGTCCTCTGTCTGTCCTCAATCTGTCCTCTGTCTGTCCTCAGTCTGTCCTCAATCTGTCCTCAAACTGTCCTCTGTCTGTCCTCAATCTGTCCTCAATCTGTCCTCAGTCTGTCCTCAATCTGTCCTCTGTCTGTCCTCAATCTGTCCTCTGTCTGTCCTCAGTCTGTCCTCAATCTGTCCTCAAACTGTCCTCTGTCTGTCCTCAATCTGTCCTCAATCTGTCCTCTGTCTGTCCTCAATCTGTCCTCAATCTGTCCTCAATCTGTCCTCTGTCTGTCCTCAATCTGTCCTCTGTCTGTCCTCAATCTGTCCTCAATCTGTCCTCTGTCTGTCCTCAATCTGTCCTCTGTCTGTCCTCAATCTG